TTTTTAGTCATTTTAACAATTATTGAACATAATTGAAGGTAAAGAAACTAGTTTCTGGCATGCCATCCAGCCTGTTAACACACCAGACAGGCGTTAGTCTCTCTCTGTTTTCACTGGAGGTAACATCTTGCTTGAGACTCTCTTCAACTAAACGCTTTTTGTCTGTGTTTCCAAGCAAATTATTGGTCATTTTGAAATATATTTTACATATTGACAATATATAATGCAGTGCAGTGTTGATTTAAAGAAAATAATCTTGAATTACACCAAGAGAGCTAAAATTTTATGGGTGAAATGGCACCATGGGGTGACTTCTCTTCCACCCCAATGCCTTCTCTTCTTCCTTCTCCTCCACCCCCATTCTAATTCCCAGCATTATCATCATCATCCAGGAGCCTTCTACATACACACCTCAAAGTAAGTGTACTTTTCTACCTTTTTTGTTGAATTTAGGCAATTTTCGGTGAGCTGGAACCAATTACCCAAAAACCCATTGAAACAATGGTTTTGGTTAACGAGTTTTTCGGTTAACGAGCAGCCTGCTGGAACGGATTGTGCTCGTTAACCGAGGGTCCACTGTACGTAGCTCCAGGCCTGAGGCGAAATCACACCTTATTTTTGAAGGACTTTCAACCACATTTCTATTCTAGCTAGAGGGTTGCATCCAACGCCAACGTGTAGAGGAAGGGTGAAAATAGTGATATCCATCAAAAAACGCATTTTGGCCCATCTGACGCTGAGCACAGCCTCTTAATTATCTACGTTTATTTTATGGAAGCCACATATTGTAGGGGTATGCTACCGTTGCGCCACATACCAACCCATGCCGTTATTACACTAGTGTTTACCCTGCCTTTGAACAGTGCAATCTGTGCTTTATTATATATCTATATATTATCGATCGCTGTTATTATTATTATGGCATGTTATTGAGTACTGTACGGAATGTTCATTACCCTGTACTGTTGTGATATTGTGTATTAAAGGGATTGCTCCTACCTCCCCTTCCGCTCTTGTCGGCTCACTGTAGACCAGGTAAGAACTGTTTACTGTATTCCCTTTATGTTTTTGACCTTATGATAATTACTGTATTATTATTATTAATTTTTATTTGCACATTCTGTATGAATGAATGTGTGTGCATGTAATAGAGTACAGTACAAGAAAATGAAGAAAATTACGTATATCTATACTTGAAATTACAAGTTGAATAATGACTTAGTTTACAGCTCAGCCTCATCTGCTCTGAGTGCTACTGGGTGACAAGTTGATTAGTCGGCAACTCAGCTACACAATTACATGCCATCTCCACAGATATTATTCCTCATTATCCCTTGTTTAAGATATTATTTCTTGTTTCTTGTCATTTTGCGATCAAGTCACTTAGCAATCTGTTATTTAGGAACGCATTCCGATCACTTAATGATATATCCATGTACAGTACCAGAGTTAGGTGCTTGGTTCATGGTTATCAGATATAATGGTTCAAACACTGGGCACTGATGGAAAGACAAGTGGAAAAAGTTTGTGCGGTAGACTGTACTGTAGATGTACACTCCACGAATTGACCCACTTAAACTGACCGTGACCAACACACGTGACATGTATAATACCTCCACCTGACATTGCATCAGGTCAGGTCAGTTACACGAGACCCAGTAATCCTCCACAGCTCCATGGGAGTGAAAAATAACAGTCTTTGCTGTAACACAGCTTCATTCATGCCCATTTCCTATAGATTTTTAACTTTTAAATATACTGTACTGTATATATTTAACCAAACTTTTAGATAAACTATTCTGGATTATTATAGTAAAGAAATGAAGTTTCTAAGTTAATTCAAACTGTAGTTACGGATTCCAGTAGTTTAGACTCAAGGAAAACATCTCCAGCACCCAGAAATGTTCTGGAAAAGTTGGCTAGTGTGCGTCTGTGCAAGAGGTCTAGTTTAACACTCAGAAACTTTTCCCAGTAACCAGAAAAGGTTCTGGGGATTAGGAATTATTCAGGGTTTGAGAAAGTTGTCTTGTTACCCGGAAATCTCTCATCCCCGGAAGTGCTCTGCACCAAATTGTTTCGGCTAACGGGCATATCACTGTATACAGTATAGGACAATTTGGGAGGGTATTCATGTTAGTTTTATGATTCATAATACAAATACTCCCTGACTTATGACCACTCGGACATACGACCGCCTCAGTTGTACCAAAATTTTGTCAAATTACGTATTTTCAAGTCCCAACGTTAGTGATTGTGCTGTGTACTGACAAAATTTTCGTTTGTAATTCACTTTAAAATGGCCGGCAAGCTTAAAAGTGAGAGTTTTGTGGTGCTGAGAAGTAAAAGATACACCCATTTTAGATTTTCTATGTATTATTTAAGAATTTTCGACATGATCATTTCGACTTACGACCTGGATTTGGGTCCCTAACCCCGTCGTAAGTCGGGGAGCAGCTGTATAGGTTAACAATGGGTACAGTACTTTAACTACTCACATAGTCAATACACTGAAAAAATAATAATATGAGTTCCTTAGTTATGGAGTGAAAGTGTAGTACTGTACTGTACTTGTAAAAAAAAAAAAAATTGAGGAGTGATTAGTACCATGTGCAAGACTTACTATTATGGGAGGTCCTTGGATAATACTCTACAGTATATTAATAAAGAAAATAACATGAATACAGTACAGTGGTCCCTCGATTAACGAACGGTCCAATTAACGAAATTTCGGTTAACGAATTAGCTCCCATAAGGATTTTCAGTTCAATTAACGAACAAAACTTCGATTAACGAAAGCCTTACAAGAAACACGTTTTGTTGTGCGCATCAGCTGATTGGCCAGTCCGCCAATACAGTAATCAGTTCTATGATTACATTCGTTTACATTGGAGTAAATATCAAGAAAGTTGGTCTCTTGAATATTTCTGCATTTTTATATTAAAATTTTTGGTCATTCTGAAATTTAGTTAACATATATAATAATAATAATAATAATAATAATAATTAACGGTTTATTGAAAGAGCTTGGCAGCCAGAAGGCTGAAAATATACAGTTGCATGTTTGGGGAATGGGTTTCGAATTACAAATAATATACAAGTAACATAAGTGATATAAATAAGATATATAATAACTAGATGGGGAAAAGCTCAAACTACAGTTCATTTCAACATAGTGACAGTGCAAGGAGTAGTGTTTACTGGGAGTGAATACACTGGTTTATTACAAGTTATTGATAATTTTTACAATGGTTGGGACTGGGCTGTTCTTATAGCGATCAGTTCGTGCACGTATGGGCTGGATACGGTTGTGATGTCGAACAGCAATTCTCGGGCTAGGGATCTCAGGTGGTAGTAGGAGCCGGTGTCGAGGATGGTGTAGAAGCTTCTTACCAATTTTGCAGATGAGGTCGTGGTGATGGTCAGTGAGAGTCAAAAGGGTCAGTGTGTTGAGCGCTTCTTGATATGTGGAGTAGGAAGGGGAGAGAATAATCTTGCATGCCCTCTTTTGCACTTTTTCTAGGTGTTTACGTTGTGTGGCATTTAGGGAGGAAGACCAGTTGGGGGAGGCATAGGTGAGCTTGGGAAGTATGAATTTTGTGTAAACACTGAGGAGCTCGGGTGCAGGAACTCCGAGGGACTTGAGTCGGCGGAGGAGGTGGAGACGGAAACTGGAGGATTTGACAACTTCACTGACGTGTGGTTTCCAATTTAGTTTGTTGTCTATGGTAACGCCGAGGAGGTTCGTGGAATCTACAACCTGGAGTGTGTTCGGATCTAGAGTAATGGAAGGAGGTGGGACAATGTCGGAGGAGAGGTTGATGTGCATAACCATGGTCTTGGTATGGTTGATGGTGACATGGTTGTTGGTGGTCCAGTTTTGGAGACTGTTCAATAAATTCTGAAGGGCGGTATAGTTGGGAGCAGAATTGTTGACGCTGATCCCAATGGTGGGGTCGTCGACATATTTCCAACGAGCAGGGGTTTCTCTTAGGGCATTATTGATGAGCATAAGGAAGCAGAGAGGTCCCATCTTGGTGCCTTGGGGGACGCCACTCCATATTGATAATATACAGTGTAGAAATTATTATGAAACACAAAGAAGGCATTAGAACCAATGCACTCTGTAAAGAATATGGCATGTCATCATCGACTGCCTCTACAATCAGCTGTTTGACATGTAAACAAAGCTGCGGGGAATACGACATACACACCTCAAAGTAAGTTAAAATACAGTATTCTATTGGTTTTTATTTATTATTGTACAGTATATTGTACAGTACAGTACAGTTACAGTACAGTACTGTATTTAGTTTATATTTAATGTTTTGTTAATTCTATTGCCAGTATACAGTACTTTGTATGTATACTTTTTCCGTGAGTTGGAACCAATTACCCAATATGCCATTGAAATAATAGATTCGGTTAACGAAATTTTTGGTTAACGAATGACTCTGTGGAATCAATTGTGTTCGTTAATCGAGGGACCACTGTATACGATATTAGAAAAAATAGGAAGTAGAAAGAGAGGCACAGTATCATGAAATGAGATTACGTATATGGGAAGCAAATTGGAAAAAGAACTAAATGTAGAAGTAGTGTTCATTTATCTACTCTTTTCGTTCCAGTCTCCCTGTGCTCCTTTCCTGTCACTCCTTCCTTGCAACTGGCACTTATAAATCTAAAATAAAAGAAAAGGAGATAAAATAGTTCTTAATCCCTTTACTATGGGACATTACATTTAATATTCTAGTTGGCTTACAACAGACGAATTTATTCAGCACAGAGAGACCCTTGTACACAAGGAGTTAAAGGCCATTATTGCAACAGACAAGATGTGGGAAAAGAGAGGTGCTTAAGAGTGTCAGTCATAAGGAAGGAGTAACAAAAAAGAGGATGAGAGATGAAGGGGAAGTTTATAACAGGTTTTTGCTTATTTATCTCATCTGCTTTTACACTGTTAGCAAGTGTCCTATTCTTTATTTTTTTCTTGGTACTTACAGAGAAATCTAAGAAGAATCGACCTGGTGGTGATCAACATCAGAAGAAAGTGCCCCTTGCAATGAAGCCTTTAACATTTGTGAAAGAATTTGGGAGTGTTGCAAATAATGATGAGACTCTTGATAGAAGAAACATAGAGTTAAATACAATTGACATGGCTCCTCCACAGTCTTGTGATAGTGAAACTATAAGAAAATTTTCTGCTAACAAATACAAGGCAGCTGTTATGCAGAACAAAAAAGATAATGCAGGTCCCTCAGATTTTAATGCTTCTGTTAATCAATTTGGTAGAGGAACTGGACAAAGGAAAGGTCAATCACCAAGAGGAAGAATGAATGTTGGTCGTGGTGTTACTACCCAGAAACAAAAGTAAGCCCTAATTCTTTACTGTAATGATGTGATAAAATGTCACCTGGTATTTTTATAATAATATATGAACACAATGCATTTTGTGGCTGCCTGTCCTTAAATTAGGCTTGAGTATATTGCTTTCAGTAAGTGACCTGTCATTGGTGGCTGAGACTCAGAAGCTATACGGTATACTGTACAGTACTGGTTTTGGGGAATACCTTATGTTGGACAACTGATTGTTTCAGTAAGAGATCATTATAATGAGTCTCCCTTTCATATCCATGAAGGATAAAATGTTCTTGCATTTGATTTTCATATTTAATTTTTTGTAAACCCTTGTAGGTTCTCAATCAAGAATGTACCGGGTAAGTTAGATTTGGTCACTGTGTCCTTTTGATAGAGGGTTGAAATTATACAGTACTGTATTTACAATTTGGCTGTAAATATGAAATGAATATAAAAGTGAATCCTGCAAGTTTAATAGTTCATTAGAGGCAGTGCATATACAGCACACCACAAATTAGTGATTCCCAAACTTTGTCAATAACTAGGGCCCTTTCACATTTATTTTTGTTTTGCAAAACAGTATGCCTGTTACATATGAAAAGGTATCCTCGAGATACAAATGGACGAGGTAAAAAGAAAAACATTCATAAGGTGAATTTTTGTACTGTATTGGAGAGTTCTGGCTAAGAGGGATTCCAGCTAATAGAGATATTACTTGGAAGTTTGGGGGAATTAATGGCTATTAAGGCCTGGTTGAACAGTATGACCACTCAGAAAAAAGTGAAGGTTGGATAGTAGCTTCTGTGACATTATGAGTTCTGCCCATAAGGGAAAAGCCTATTCTTCCAGATACAGTAGTTCCTCGCCAACTGCGAGGGTTAGGTTCCTGAAAAACTCTGTGGTTGTCAAATTCGCAGTTGACAAGGGGGTTAGGTTCCATGGCCTCAGATAACGCTCTTTAAAGCCAAGCTAAGTTGCTTGTTCCTTCACTAAACAATACCTGTACAGTATTGTACATTTTGAATTTGAGTCAAATACAGGTATATATACAATTGCTAAATATAGATTAAATAGTAAAACAAATTTTACATTACGTATCTGTGCAGATGGCATGTTGCAGTAAAATAAGACAAATGAGGAGCATGGGTGTGTGTGTATGTGAAGTGTGTGTGTGTGTGTGGACTTGGCAAGTCACCAAGTTTGAGTGTCCCTGAAGCTACATCTCCTTAGTTCTCCCCTTACCAGGTCAAGCTGTTATTTTCATTTTTCAACTTGTATTTTTGGGTAGATGTACTGTATGCAATTTTGTTTATTTATTTTTTACACTTACATGCACACACAGTCATTCGTAGAGAATGTGTAAAAAATAAAAAATATGATAATCGTAAGGTCAAAAACATACTGTAAAGAATGAAAATTTCTTACATCCACGGGAGTTAGTGTCGGATCATGGGAGGTGGAAGGGGGAGAAGGAGGGGGTTGTGGTGTCATGGATCTCAGCCTCTCCCCACCAGGCCAAGCTGTGAGCTGTGTTATTGTTCTTTTTCAATTCGTAGTTTCGGGTGGATATAGTTTTTTTTTTTTTTTTATACACAATCGTTCATACAGAATGTGCAAAAAAAAAGGAAAATAAACATTATCATAAGGTCAAAAACATAGAGAGAATAACATTTCTTAAGTCTGCAGGTGTTAACCCACAATCTTGAGAGGTGGAGGTGGGAGCGTGCTCCTGTCTCCCGTGTCCTTAATGAAACGATTGCCAAATGGCAATGTAGTATTTTTTTCTTTTATTTTATTTATTAATATTACAGTATTTTTATTAATTCCCCACATTTACGGAGGAACACATTAGAGATGATTAGACGGAAGGATAAAGATGTCACACTATTCCGCGGATACTGTACTTGAAATTCAATCCTATGGCTGGTGAAATGATATACAGTACAGAGTAAAAACCATGGTTACCCAGAATCCACAGATGGGAAATCTGTAATTGGCAAGGGCCTGTTGTACACCTTTTAAAGGGTTGTAGGTATAGTAGAGTAGGTTTAATAATTATCATTTAAATTAGTCCCAGCCACCAAAGTCAGGAATCTTAGACTAGTGGCTTAGCATATTATACTGTACTTGAGCTGCTTAGTTCAAAGTCAGCCATAAAATAATTAATGTTAATTTTTCAAAAATATTTCCTTTTTTATTTTACAGGCCCCTTGCTGTCAAAGGAAATCATCCACTGTCAGATTTTCTTGTTGTTGAACGAGCATACACAACACAAAATTCCGTGTCTCAACTTTCTCAGTCTGCAGCTTTTTCCCATATGCCAATGACCTACACGCAGAGCCTCAACGGAAGGTAGGTGAAAATAATTTGTTGTAAACAATCTTTGCCTAAGACATGTACAGTACTGTACTACAGTAATGGTTTCATGTACTGTGTCTCAAAATTGAAACAGTTACCGGTACTCTTTACTCTCATAACAAAAATGTACTACTGCACCAATACAGTACAGTTCTATGTTTACATTCGTTTCCAGTGGAGTAAATATCAAGAAAGTTGGTCTCTTGAACATTTCTGCATTTTTATAATTAAAATTATTGGTCATTCAGAAATTTTTTTAACATATTGATAATACTGTATATACAGTACAGGGAACAGTTTTTGTGCGCCCATCAGCTGATTGAATCACCCAACAACGCTTCTCAGTTTAACTTTGTTTACAGTGGAGTGAACATCCAGTTTGTTGGTCTCTTGAATATTTTTGCATTCTGAAATTTAGTTAACATATTGATAATATACAGTGCAGAAATTATTATGAAACACAAAGAAGGCATTAGAACCAATGCACTCTGTAAAGAATATGGCATGTCATCATCGACTGCCTCTACAATCAGCTGTTTGACATGTAAACAAAGCTGCGGGGAATACGACATACACACCTCAAAGTAAGTTAAAATACAGTATTCTATTGGTTTTTATTTATTATTGTACAGTATATTGTACAGTACAGTACAGTTACAGTACAGTACTGTATTTAGTTTATATTTAATGTTTTGTTAATTCTGTTACCGTTATTCAGAACTTTGTATGTACTGTATACTTTTCCCCTGAGTTGGAACCAATTACCCAATATCTCATTGAAATAATAGATTCGGTTAACGAAATTTTTGGTTAACGAACGACTCTGTGGAACAAATTGTGTTCGTTAACCGAGAGACCACTGTACTGTAATACTGTACTTGAGATTTAATGAGTGAGGCAGTTTGTGGAGTAGAAAGGGAAAGCAAGTAGACAAACAAGAACTGTGAGAATAGAATGTGAAAAAAGTCTTGAACCATACTCCCTATCATTTCCCTCTTTCTTTGAGGTTTCTGTACCTGTTAACCTACCCCGCGCAAAGGTGGTAGAAGAGTTGGATTTTATAACTACGCTTCCTTATTTAATGTCTTTAAGCACATACCAGAAACCATTAACAATTAAATGTTTTGAGAGATAGAACTTTTTTTAAAGATAGAAATCACACACATACACACACATAAACATTTGTCTTGAGAACTTCTTTGGGAAAGCTTTGTGCAAAGAAATTTTTGCAATAAATATAGAGGCTTGCCAACACTGTACTGTAATAATTATACTGTATACACCATTCATCCTTGTCTTCATAAACATTTGTAATTAAATGTAATCTGAAATTTGAAAGTTGATTTTTTCTTTATAGGGAGTGGTTTGTGAGCATCAATGGAGTAAATATTGGTACAGGCTCAGGAGACACAGTGAAAGAGGCCAAGGAGGCAGCAGCAGCCAATGCATTGGAAACCTTGTCACACCACTGCTACACACTGAAGGTTTGCACTGACAATTCTTTTTAAAGTTGTATAGTAGGGCCAAACCTAATCTAGATTCCCTCATCAGTGTCTTAACCAGAATGGAAATTACTCAACAGTCTTCGACTCTGCTCGTTAGATCATTTTTATATCCCCTGTCAATTGTGTGCTCGTTATATAATTTTTATATCCCCTATCAATTGTGTATTAAGTTTGTGGGACGAAAAGTCTTATCGGTATGGTGTGCCATAAATAGACATTTGGTCACTTTGAAACTTAATTTTTACTGAAACATACAACAAAGAAAATAAATATTTCTTCAATTGTAAATGAATTAAAGGGAGGAAAGATGTGTTTGTATTTTTGTGAGATTAATTATTTTTGGTATGTTTAATGACAATGACATGGGTTAACCAGCTACCTAACAATAAAATATAGAGCGAAGAGAACTTATTATTTATCTCGAGAATTAAGCAAATCAGATGGAGGAATGGCACTTTTCGTACTCAGGCTTTGTCCCTTATTTTTCTTGAAAACAAAGATTCTGCTGCCACCCTCCCGTACGACGAAACCAACTTTGTTTACATAAGTAGGAGACGGTGTCCAAACAGTTCATAGACATCATTAATAAACAATAGAATCACCAGCAACTTTAAAAATAAAATTATATAGACAATGATGATTAACCCTTTGACCCAGGGCATCGTATGAACTGCCAAACCCTCCACGCAGGCATAATTTGGTCAAAAACTTTTTTTTAAATCCGTTGTCACCTTATAAATGGGTTAATCAAATAGAAGAAAAATACCAGAAGAATTTACTTACATTTAACTTTCATTGTACAGATAGCATGATTGGAGAGTTGTCTGGGGTGTTGATGAAGAGTGTGGAGTGATGAAAGATGCCTTGTTTGAAGCTACTGCGCACAGCCCACAGTGAGCGGGAAGTGAATTTGACATGCACTGCGCAACACACAGTTCTTACTTGAAGGCACTTTTATGTCATATTTCTATCTTACAGCTATTACAAAAAATATGTATAATTTCCACAAAACAACTATAAAATACTGAACAGTAGCTTGTAGGAATATTTAGGCAGCACAATACATATCACTATTTTCATTTATATACCCTGTCCACTATTTACATGTACTTATACTGAATTTGGAACTTTTTGATCGTTTGGAAGTCTTTGTTACATGGAATGCACCAAGTCACCATATCTTCGTGCCGTGGTTCATGGTGGCTGGCGGGGTGGGGAGGAGAGGGAGTGCCAATCTGTAGGTTTAACACTGTCCTCACTGCTTCAACAAACTGGACATCATCTAGGTTTTGTTTCCTCCCCATCATTGTCTTCATCACCTAATACTATATCAATGCCACTCAAATCAAGCAAAGGAACTCTAGATGAACAACACTACTGTCAAGTGCTTGTGCTTGGGTGTGAGGATGTGAGGTGGGTTCATAAGAGAGGTCTAAGGACCTACATCCCTCACAATATCTGGCGGGTAACTGACTGTGAGGTACGAGTTTTGAGACAAATGTACGCGAGTTGAGTTGCCAATTACACAAATGTCCCACACAAAGTATTTCCTGCCACCTAGACATTCAAAACATGCCACAAAAATTGAGAATGTTCAGGAAAGTTACCCAGGGTCACATAGGCGAATGTTCAGGAATGTCACCCGGGGTTTAAGAGTTAATTATTCTTTCTTACTTTTAGAACAAAAATAACACCCCTAAAAAGGACAATTGCTATTAGTAGTAGGATTTTTTTAATCCAGGTAAATCTCAATAAACGATGTCTTGTTCAGTGATATACTGTACGATCAAACAAATTCACTTTAATGATATCCATTGAACATCCATCAATATCCATTGGTTGGAAAAAAATATTCTTTTCTCTAGTGCAAACTATGGGTTCTGTATACTTAAATTAGTTGTTGTTTTGCAAGGATTCCATTAATGCAAATTATAATTTTCTACATCAAGTCAGTGACATTTTATAAGGAAACAATTTTTAACCCAAGGCACCACTACAGGTAGCGCATCTCTGGCTGCACTTGTTAGCCACGGTAATATCTACCCGCACTCCGCCTCACAGGTAACCCTCGCACTATAGTCCTGCGCTTGCTCCTTTATCAATCACCCCCCTCCCCATATATTGCGTAACTCCACGATAATCATTCAGCATCATTGGCTTATCATCAGTTTTTTTTTTTTTATTATTATTGTGAGAGGACAGCACTAACATTTAGATTGGACTGTGTTATGGTGACTGTGAAGTTATACTTTCTGTTTTTGTGACTGTAAAGTGCTTCGCCTTTGTTGTTGTGATGTGAGCAGTGTCGGCTACTATCATTGTTTTTATGTTATTATCGTTCACTCTGTTTTTGTGACAAGTGCTTTTGCTCTGTTTTTTGTGACTGTGAAGTGAGCAGTGTAACTTTGAAAATATCTGGGAAGGCAAAGGCATCCAAGACAACCATGTTTCTGAGGTGAAGCTTGACATAGTGAAGCGACTGTGTGGGAGTCAGAGTGACCTCTGCACTCCATCTACAAGAGTCCCCCTTAGCCTCAAAGGGGACATTTGATGATGGCCAGGGTTATTCTTCAAGATGTGGTGAGTGTTGTTTAATCCTTCGGCTGCAGGAGGTTACCCTAAGCTGAATAAAATCGCCTGGCGGTAGCCAGAATAAAATGGCAAGTGCAGGAAATGCAGCAAAAGGGTTAATTGTTTTCTGTTGATTTTATAAGTGTAGGAATTTTTTGGTCGGTGATACATTTGTGTTTGGGAACATATCCCTTTGAACCCCATGTTATTATGCTCCCTGTCTATGTTTTTCATGAACCTAACCCAATCGTTTATCGAAGTTTACCTGTACAGTAGAGTCAAGATAATTCAGAAAAAACAAATTTGGTTTCATAAATTTGCGGGTACTGTACCTCTATTAATGCGGTACCCTCCTCTTTTAAATTTTGCCATAAAATATTCATAATTTACAGCCAAGTGCCATAAAATTTGTGATAATTTTTCAGTGCTCTAATTTACTTTGGAAATAAAGAAAATATATTATAAATACCATATCATTTTAATGCTTTAATGTTACTTACTTAGAAATAAAGAAAATATAATATAAATTATAAAATATGAAGAAATGAAGAGTGGGTATAAATTGTGTGGGCGGGTGGCTGGCTGGACTCAACGGAAACTCCCCAACTCACGACCCCTTTATAACAATATTATGCAATTTCACCATGATTTCTATATTTTTGTTTGTTTGGTGCTGGGTTAATAAAAAAAAATATTGTAATTACAGTAATTAATGTAATTTATTAAAAAAATCCCACACTCGACCCCAAATGAATTATTGAATAGCACAATACAGTAAGTAATTCCCTGGGTTACAGAAGGGAATGCTCAATTGAAACGTTGACCGTAACATAAAGCCCATTTTCCCATTGACTTCCATTATATAATTGGGGTATGTTCCCAAGGATATTTTTTTTGTCAATAAGAAGTAATACAAGCACTCATATGAATGAATTTTTTTTATTAAACACCTTGATTTTTTTATGATATTAATATGATAATAAATACAATAAGGTCTCAAGAGTACTGTATGTGTATCCATAGTTATTTTCATGTGGTTGGGCAAACTGCATCAGATTATTATTATTATTTTTTTACATGAATTTCTTTATTCAGCAGAATTTTTTCAAAATAATGTTGATGAAAGGAACAAGTGTTGTTGTTTGTACAATAGGAGTTATATATAGTAATAAAAATTCCAAATACAGTAGCAATTCTATTTTTGGAAGGAATGTCTGAAATGAGACCTAAGTCTGAATACAGTACATTATAGATATACAGTAACCGTTTAATTAATTTTCTGTAGGTTTTGAAAATTCATGCAGCTAATGAAGAAGTAACCTTAAGTGAAGTTGAAGCTGGCAAACTAGGACCAAGTAGTTCAGCACCAATTGAGGGAGCTTCTTTAGACAAACCTGTAGACAACAGTTCCATGGGCATGAAGCTGCTGAAGTTGATGGGGTGGACAGGTGGAGGACTTGGCAAGGAAGGATCAGGAATTATTGAACCTATCAAGTTAGTTCTTTCATTGCCAATAAAATAATTTATATTTTTTATTATCTTGATTAATTTCTAATGAAGAGAATGATTGTCCTATACAGTACAGGTATTGATTGATTTAAAATGTATAATCAACCTTTATATTTACTTAACTGCTTATGCCATTTTTGTTTTGGATAGTACTGTACAGTATTGTAATGTATGCTAAATGATTTTGAAAAGTCTTTTGATGACAGTTGTCTCTTACTACAGGCCAGCTGAAGTTTTTGGTCGAGAAGGACTCGGTCGTAACAAAGAAACGGATGTTTCTGTTCAGTTTAACAATGGTATTAAAAGACTCATATCTGATTATGCCAGAGGAACTGGATTTAAAGAAATTGCCTTTACAGCAGATTTTTCAAAAGAGCAACGTGCTTCAATACACAAGTGAGTTTTTCATTTTGGAAAAAAGTAACCCCCACTATAGAAATAAGTTAATAGTGTCATAAGGAAAAATCCCTAGCTGGATCATACAATGTGAACCTCCCATTGAAAATAAACATCAAAAACGTTCAGGAGGAAAGTAGGTAACTTAATATGTGTAAGTCACTCACATAAAGAATTAGGAGTTAGAACTTTCTAGGTATGAATCATAATTGTTAGTTTGATGACTTTCTATACAAAAGAGATTTTAAAAGAGGTCAGATTTAAAAAATATACACAGTATACTGTATTGTCTTTTTTGTCATGAAATATGAAATTATTTTAATAATTACACTCCAGTATTACAGAAGACCACTGAAATTTAGCATCAAGAATTTTAGTGAGAAAAAGGTATTTAATTGTTATTTGAAAACAGAAGATTTAGGACAATATAAAAAATAAATAAGATTAGCCCTAGGTCATTAACCCTTAAACTGCAGCTATGGAAAAATTGGGTCATCGCTGTATACTGTATGTGCAAAAACTTGATTTTTCAAATCTTATTTTATTTTTTATTACAGTATAAACAAGCATGCAGAATAAATAAATACAGAAAAAAGTTCTTTACTTATCTTGCAACTTGTGCAGTGAATGTTTTACTCCATGCTCAAATCCATTAGAATAACACCCAGTATTGTCAATAAACCACATTCTTTCCCTCTTGTCACCCCTTGAATTGCAACATGCAGAAATTCTACTCTCCAGTTTTCCTGATAACGACCTTTTGAAGAGGATGCTATTTGCATATCCACTCTTAGGTTGAAAAAAAAATCAGAAACACTGGCCTATACATTATGCATTTAAATGTCTCGTTGGGAAATGAGCGTGTCTTTTGTTTTGCAGGGGTAGATCCTGGGGGGGGGGGGGTCCTGGGAGTCCAGACCCCCCTTTTCATCAGAAGATTCCTATACCTTCTACTTTTTCTTCAATGCAGTATTGTACTCAGACATTTTTGTACAGTAAAAAGTAAATACTATTGACTTCAGAATACAGTATCTCCTAATATTAAGTGCACGTGGCATCAAAATTGCCTCAAAATGCCCATGGGTGGGTTTGCTGTGCTTGCCATGTTCCCCCACCCATAACTTCTTGGACCCTCCCTCCCCCTTTGATATTCCTGGATCCGCCTTTATATTGCCCTTGGCCACTGTTGCCTACAACAACGTCAGTGGACGATGGCCTCAGTTTAAGGGTTAAGCAGCATATTGACAAGTACCTCAATGATATTTAAAAGATATTAAAATTTTGAAAAACAAAAAGCCAAAATGGTAAGTAAGTACTATATATTGTCACACCTTGGTAGTCACATTGGTGAGGTCTTGTGTGGCAGATTTTCCTCAAAAACCATTTTGAAGCATCCCGATGACTAAGAAAAAAACCATCCTTATATCTGGGTGCTTTTTATATATGGCAGTAACTGCTTTTATTTTACACACTACAGTATTAGAATTGGTTGAAAAATATTGAAACTGTTTATAGAAATGTTTTGGGTGTATAAACAAAATATTTGGTTTACACGTAAGTCAAAGTAACCCCTCTTAACCGTGCAAAAATTTTGCCATTCCACTAATTTCTTTTAATTGATAGCTTCTGAATGTTGAAAATCATGTTGGTAAATAGCTTCTTATGATGAAATATTACAATAATATAACTTCCTGTTGATTTTCAGAGTGGCCCGACGCTTCAGGCTGAAGACTGTAAGTTATGGTAAAGGCGATGATCGATATTTAGTATTATCCCGCAAATATTCAAACAAGGCGCTTATTCATAAACTTCTTGAAAATGGACCTACAGATAAATATCAGCTAATACCTCCCAAAGACAAATAAATTTTGTAAGCAGGCACAATGGATATGAGTTATTTGGGGATATAAAGCCAAAACTAAAAGAATTTTATAACCCAATTGTGCTTCTGCCTGACAGCTTTTGTAATGTCAGACACTATGTCTTCAGGTTTAGATTAGGTGGGCTGAATAACGAGAGCACACTACCTCAGGAGCATCACTTATCATTGGTTCTTGAGGGGGATGATCCTCTCCTCCTCTGGCTAACAACATAATGTCTGGGCATTTGCCAAGATGTTAGTTGACAGACCAATGTACAGTCTCATTCAAGATTCTTTGAACACTGCTGGAGACAGCTGGCAACTCAAGGCCGTTTGTTTACTATTGTTTACTATAGTACGTAGTATAATATAATACAAAATAAAGCCCAACCATTAATTAAGCAACAGGGAACCCAAGTAACTAATCACCGATAACCTTTTACATTCATTCATAATTTTTACTACGTACTATAGTAAACAAACGGCCTTGAGTTGCCAGCTGTCTTCAGCAGCATTCAAAGAATCTTGAACGAGACTGTACCTTGGAGAGGATGTGCAGCCATTGAACTATATAGCTTTGGAGTATCCTAATAGGCATGTTCTTCATTGGTAATTGTGTTAATTCCCATATTGGTGTGCTTGTCATTATTAGCTAGAGTTGCAGTTTTATAATACCACCTCTCTCTGTCTAGTTGGCTTTAGTTACCTGAGCCATATGATACATGACATCTTAATGTAAACAGTATTGAGGATTAATACTAGAAATCACATTTTCTAGCAAAGCTCATAGCCAGACAGCTCAGGTATCCTCTCTCCCCTATGAGACAGCAAATGCTTTGCATGAATTAGATTTAGGGGATTTTACTCGATTCCAATATTACAAAGCCTAAACGATCACCAGATGAGGTGCATTGAAGTTAAGTGTGACATTGTAGCTCAGTGGCTTCTTGCTCTTAATGTTGACTCAAGCTTCCAATGTCCTTTCAATTACAAGTGTAAGGATAGCTAATTGGTCTGAGTAGTCCATCCACCAGTAGTTAGGGGCTCCTCAGTTCTAGTCCTGAAGACACAATGCATGACATTACATAAGCTACAGTATTTGACTGCAGGACCAGCTAAAGACAGAGATTGCTGAAAGAAACTATTTATTTTTAATAATATCTCCTTCATTCTGAAATATTATAAAACCCTCTCTTTTTTTTTCCATTAGTGTTGTATCTTGTGTCATTTGATATACGTGAAATTAAATTAGGGATATCTTGTTTTTGTGAAAAAATTTTAAAGCACAAACGATGATGCACAAGTAATTTCCATTTTGTTATTCTTCCCATTTTTAATATGCACTGCTGGTACTGAGTATGTTTATTCATTACTAAAAAGGGTTTACGATCAGGGAGGTTTTGATGTCTGTCACTTTAATTGAGGTTGTTATTAGGTGTTGTCAATATGATCTTTAGTGTACAAAGACAAAAGTCGTGTCGCGGTTTTGTCCGAAGATTAAATATAACTCGTGAAACATTATGAGAGCCCTCTACCACAAGGCAGAGCGCACCAAAAGTTTAGCCCTTCGGCATATGTTTTAATCAAATTTCACGACACGTCTTTCCTCTTTCATTGTACAGTCTCGTTCAAGATTCTTCGAACACTGCTGGAGATAGCTGGCAATTCAAGGCCGTTTGTTTACTATAGAATGTTGTAAAAATTATGAATAAATATAAAAGTGATCGGTGATTGGTTACTTAGTTCCCCGTTGCTTAATTTAATTGTTGGGCTTTGTTGTTTTGTATTATGTTATACTACGTACTACTATAGTAAACAAAAGTGCCTTGAGTTGCCAGTTGTCTCCAGCAGTGTTCGAAGAATCTTGAACGAGACTGTACATACACTGTACTGTATCTTGGAAATATGGATGTGTCAGTTTTGAGAGCATTGTTGGATTTGTGAATCATCTGTATTTCTCATTAAAGTCACATTTCCAGTGCTCCTTCCCTCCCTTTAAAACTATGTAGCATATCTCTGCATAAATAATTGAGATAAATAAAGGTTAACTTGTGGAATGCACAGTTGAGTAAATACATTATTCACCATTCTACTGTATTTCTCACGTATCTTGAGTTTTGAATACAGTACAGTACTGTATACGTCCACAAAAATCACAGAGCAAGTGCTACTATACATGAAACCGGCTGACAACTGGATACATTAAGAACTTGAGTGCCGAGACGTTCAAAGTAATGCTTTGTTGATCTTTATTTTTATTTTTTTTATGAAAAGGTGCTATTTTTTTTTATCTGATATAAAGATGTAAAAATTCCCTTTTCATCCATCATGATTTTGACTTCTTTGATACATGCCTTACAACAGGAAAAAGGATCTGATCATATTTAGCAATGCATTATGAAAATGGTCACATTACTGAATCTACCCACTGTAAAACTGTAATAGTAAGGATATGCATAGCATAATCACAGTACAGTACTGTAATTGAATTTTGTAAGTGAAGGGAAATTGAGGAATCAAGAAAATGTGATAGACATTTAGCATCTTAACAAGAAAATTTTTATGCACTGGGAATGGGTTTCCACAGCACTTTGTCAAGAGAAATGGAGGACCTGTTTATCAAATACAAGCATTCACTTATTTATGCCATGCCAAACAACAATGTTTCGATATAAAGTCGTTTAATGATTACTGAATAATAATTGATATAAGTCAGTGTGGTGCCTACCAAAATTCACTCATGCTTTCTGCCTTGGTGACAACAACTGGTGCTGCTCTGTTGATTATTTTTTAGCCCCACATTAAAAAAAAAAATAAAAATCATGTACCTGAAAAACATCTTTCAAACAGTCATGATGGTACTGCACCCAAGAAATCCCGTCTTTCCATCAGTTTAGACGTGAAAATTCAGGAAGTTTGGAGTCTGGAGAGAGAGTGACCTTAACAGTGACATCTCAGAGGAAAGTGAAGTGCCTTTAGACACACTTGGTTAGTTTAAGTTTGTGAGTGTGTTTGTTTTAATTATTTCAATTAATCAGAGTACTGTACTGTACTACTATCCTTATATCTGAGGGTTGGCAACCACAGTCCTTCACTCAAAACATTCTCAGGTTGTTTTTACCAATCCTCTAAGTTTTGTATCTCTCTAGGGACCCAGTTTTTAGTTTCATTAAGTGATGCTTATTAAAGAAAAGTAGAGAAAAAGTGATGCTTATTCAAGAAAAGTAGAGAAAGAATAGTTACATGGCACAGCAGCTCGTGGTGTGGCGATCGGATGGCCGCTTGCTGGTGGCTTCCCAGTTTCAGTCAGCTGGCAGGACCTCTGCCACTATTCAGGATGCTCACTGTTTAGTGATACAGTATACAGAATACTGTATGTATATTTTTTTTATTATTTGTGTCATAAGTTTTTATTCATTAATGTCATCTATTTTTAAACTGTACAGAACACGAGTACTGTCTGCTATTATAACACAAATTTAGTAGTTTGCTTTGGTTTGTGCATAATGAGATCAAGTGAAATAATTAGGTTAGGATGACTGAAAACTTAATTTATTTTAAACCTGCACAGTACTGTACAAGTACTTTAATAATTATGTCATATACCACTTTAATATTCCATATTTAACTTTGTACAGTAGTTTGCTCTGGTTTGTGCTAATGAGAGGCATCACTGTATGAAGATCACTGAAAAGGTTAGGGTGACTGAAAATGTGCCCTGGGTAATATTGTGTTTATCGGGTACCAGTAATGTCACACTTTTTGGAATGCATCTACAACGTAAATCAGCTACTTGCTGTATATTAAATAAATTAATTAATGGAGAATTATCAGCTGCTATAAACTATGAAAAGTCTAGGTTGAGTGTATAACATAACAGTGATAAGGTAGAGTTGTTAATGTCTATCGCATTATTTACTTGAGTATTCTTTTGCCTATTATGAGATAATAAAATGTTCTTCATCATTATCATTATTTTTCAGTCTTTTCCATGCCTACATGGGTAAGTTGTGATTACCTGAATTCATGGTGTCCTGGTTGCCATCAGGCAAATGTAAAGCAAGTTTTCTGACTCAATGCCCTTGCTATTACTGACAGTTTTATGTTGGACTTTCAAGTGCCCTTTTAGCTGGTAAGGGTTGCTACTCCTTGAGGTAATCTGCATACCTAAAAATACTATGCTAGTCTGCACTTCCATTAAAAGATGATAATCATTATTTGAAAAAGTACTCACAATTTTTTAATTATGTATATAGCAGTTAAATGTTCATTTTTCTTTTATCCCATTACATTCTTCTAGATTCAGTAAACCCCCATTCTTGTGGATTAATTGTGGGGAAGGTGGGTGAGGATTTTGTAAATTTCCACTTTTATGTGTGTGTATTTCTTGGGGAATGAAATACAGTAAGGCAAAGACACATTGGACAAACCTGATATCTGAGGGAAAAAATAAGGTCGCGGGAAGTCAGAAAAAGAACCCAAACCTAACCTCAAAGGTGAATAATTATTGTTGCAAATGTATAAATCTACTTAAATGTCAGTTAAGCAAGCAACTATTAATGTGTACCAATGCGTACCTTAACTGTTCAGAACTATGAACTCATTAATGAAATATGATACTGAACCTTCAGTAGTGATCACAAGTTTATATAAGTTACTTAACTTTTCCTCTATGACAATGCCATTAACAAATAAGCCTTTATTGTTTATTATATCACTGGTCCACATATTTAATACCTTTTCAATACAAAGAAACCTTTACACTAGCATAAATCTTTTGTTCTGAGCACGGATCGTGCATATGGTCAACTTTTACAGTTATGGTGACCGAGGTATGCTGGAGTCTGGCAGGTAGCTTGTCCAAAATCACTATTTTCTTGGCTATACTGTATCATTTACCTTATATGGTTTCTTCACTGCACCACCTCTAGCAGAGTGTTTACATTTAGGTAGTCTTGCACAGTTAAGGTTAAAGACCAAAGACATAAAAAAATTTAGAAAAAAGACTTAGGTGTTGAGCAATTTCGCACTCTCCGCAGTGTAAAACAAACTGAGGTGCTAGTGAAGGTGTACTGACAGTTGGAACTGCTGCTTGAAAAGTGAGCAGCTAATGAGCTAACCCACGTATAATCATATTTCATCAGTAATTAGC